AGCCATTTCCTCAACAAAACTGTATTCTTCTTTATCACATTCCTTAACCCCAAACCACCCTTTCTCTTACTTCTACAAACAATCTCCCACTTAACCAAACGGTCCTTTCTGCCTTCTCCTAGCTCCCACAGAAAATCCCTCATGATTTTTTCTAACTTTTTTGCCTCCTTCTAAGAATCCTAAAAACTAAGAGATAGTAGACTAATAGATTGCAAAGAGTGGACTTTATCAAAGTGATCCTATCCCCCAAATAGGTGTAATTCTACTTCCAAATGGCTAACCTCTTTCAAACCTTACTACAACTAGATTCTAAAATCTACTCTCCTTGGGGTTTGCACCTAACAGAAGACCTAAATAGTTCATAGGCCACGATGTAACTGAGCACCCTCCCCACCATACTACTTTTGTCCATATTGATTTTCAGATTAGATCTGCACAAACAAATTCACCATCAGCTTTAATCCCCCCACTTTGCTTCAATCATCACTCTCACAAAAAATTATCATATTTCAGTGACTGTATTAAACACCAAAAGCATGGATACGTATGTAAGGTACACTAGCTTGTAAGTCATAAGTCATAACCAACATGCTGAATAAAGAAAATCTATTATACCTCACCAGCTGCTGCCTTAAAGCGAACATAAATAACAGATGCCTCCACACCCTCAGAAACAGCTATTTTGCTACCACCACTACCCCGAATTACAGCCTGGACCTGATAAAGAAAATAAATACTACATATCCAAAACAATACATTGTGCAAAGACTTATCAACATTGGAAGGGGGAATAGCTACCTGAGAAGAAGCACTTTTGAGAACAGAGAGTACGTGAGACCGAATCATTCCCAATGCTCGAGACTGTAAAAAGGATGCAAGAGGAGGATGTAAAACCAAAGAAGCTTTACCCATGGCCACCTGCCTTTTAATATAATCAACTAGATCATAATGATAAACTTTTAAAAATCAGAAGTACTTGGCTACCTGAAGTTGTCGAAATTTAACCAAGTAAACACTTGATTCAGCATACTGTGGATTGCTTTCGACATACCTAAGCTTGTCAAAGAAAAAAAAGATAAGTGCAAAATCTATGCCTCACAAATTCATAAGAAACCATTGATTATCAGTTTTGATAAAGCAGCAAAGTTCAGATTAAAATTTTCAGAAGCACATAGATATAGTGATATATACACTGATTTGAAAATCTATCTTCACTTACGAAATACACTCATCCAATCTTTTTAGCAACGGAAGAAAGTTTCCATTTTCAGCATTCATGTTCAGAGAGTAAAAATTGGTAGCAACCTGCATACAAGTAAGAAGCATGTAATTAAACAATCAATATAATTTAACAAAGACGCACAGGGTAATATTTTATTCATCAGTGCAAGATTTTCCATCAATAACAACATAAAAACAAATTTAACTTATGATAATCAAAGAGTTGGAACAAAATCTGATCCTACGGGTAAGAATGTATGCAGAAGAGAATAGATCACAAACCAATAGTTACTTGTGATGGGTTATATGATATCTGAGGACCTAATGCAAAAGATAATCAACTCAAGTAAGCCTTGTCCCAACTATATGGGTTCAGCTACATGAATCCTTCTCTGCTACAACTCATGTATTTTTTGGTCTGTCCCTAGCTCTTATAGACCGACCCTTCGAATTACAACACATCAATTCTTTTCACTGGTGCTGCAGATGATCTTCTCTGCATGTAAACAAATCATCTTATTTTACTTCTATTAGAGTTCGGCCTGCCTGTTAGACTGATAACAGTCAAGGAAAAGAGAGAAGAGAGAAAGGAGAAGAGTAGAAGAGATGACAAGGAGGAAAAGGTCTGGTTCGAATGAAGGAAAAGTCAACTCTCCCATTCGACCAGATTTATTTTATTAATAAAATATTGTGGAAAAGTCACATGTGCCCCTACTTAAGTTAGGGACATTAGATCTAACATAAGCTTACACATCAGCACCTAAACATAAGCACAAAGACAGAAATACCCCTACATACTCGACACTAACACTCCCCCTCAAGCTGGAGAGTATATATCATATAATCCCAGCTTGTTACATATGTAATCCACTCTACCCCGACTCAATCCTTTAGTAAACAAATCTGCCCACTGGTTCCCTATGTTGACATATGTAGTGTCTATCACTCCACTCAGCACCTTCTCTCTAACAAAGTTACAGTCAACCTCTATGTGCTCGGTTCTCTCATGAAACACCGGATTAGAGGAAATATGAACTGCAGCCTGATTGTCATAGTAGAGCTTCATCGGAGTATCAACAGTGTATCCCATCTCCTGTAGAAAATTCCTTAGCCACACTAATTCACAAGTAGTATGTGTCATAGCTCTATATTCTGCCTCTGCACTGCTTCTTGCCACAACTGTCTGCTTCTTGCTTTTCCATGTCACCAAATTACCCCCAAGAAAAGTGCAATAGCCTGTGGTAGATCTCCTATCAGATACAGAACCGGCCCAATCAGCATTAGTATATCCTTCTATTTCAAGTTTTCCACCACTTCTATATATCAAACCACGACCAGGAGCCCCCTTTAAATACCTCACAATCCTTGGAACTGCATCCCAATGTGGAACCAAAGGTTTCTGCATGAACTGACTTACCACACTAGCTGTGAATGAAATGTCTAGCCGAGTGATGGTTAGGTAGTTCAATTTACCTACCAGTCGCCGGTATCTGCCAGGGTCTTCAAACACTTCACCCATATCACTACTTAGCTTAGTGTTTGCTTCCATAGGTGTTTCAGCTGGTTTAGCACCTAACAAACTTGTTTCTTCAAGCAAATCAAGAGCATATTTCCTCTGACACAAGTTAATACCATGCTTAGACCTTGCTACTTCTATCCCCAAGAAATACATTAATTTACCAAGGTCCTTTGTCTGAAAATGTTCCTACAAAAAAGTCTTCAACCTGTCAATGCCCATTTTATCATTTCTGGTAATAACAATATCATCTACATACACCACCAATAGGATCTTCCCTGCCTAAGAGTCATGACTGAAGACAGAATGGTCAACTTGGCACTATTTCATACCAAGCTTCTTTACCACCTCACTAAATCTACCAAACCATGCTCGAGGAGACTATTTAAGCCCATAAATGGCCTTCAGTAGTCGGCACACCTTGCCATCCTCCCCTTGAGCAACAAATCCCAGTGGTTGCTCCATATAGACCTCCTCGAGCAGATCACCATGCAAGAAGGCATTCTTGATATCAAGCTGATAGAGGGGTCAATCATACATCGCAACGAGAGAAATCATAACACGGACTGAACCAATCTTAGCAACCGGAGAGAAAGTCCATGTGTAATCAATACCATAGGTTTGGGAATACCCTTTGGCAACCAGTCTAGCTTTCAGCCGCTCTACACTACCATCAGGTAAGTACTTAACCGTATAAACCCACTTACAACCAACAGCCTGCTTACTAGGAGGAAGAGTGGTGAGTTCCCATGTATGATTATGAGCTAGAGTTGAGAGTTCTTCTTCCATCGCACGGCATCATCCTGGAGAGGCAAGGGCTTCCTGGACATCCTTAGGGATAACAACCGAGGATAACAAAGAGAGAAACTGGCGATGGGAAACGGAAAGGTGAGTCAGTGAAACATAATTAGAAATAGGATGAAGGGTACAACTACGTTTACCTTTCCGCAAGGCAATGGGAAGATCAAGATCAGATACTGGGGTTGGGGCTGGTGTGGGAACGGTTGCCAGATCTGTCAACGATGATGGAGCTGGAGGAGGAGCCGATACATGAGGGCGATGTGTATACACGTGATGGATAGGTGGTGGCACCGAAGGCAAGGACTTGGTCACAGCTGGACAAGAAGAACAAAATCCACAACTAGAAGAGGAAGGGGAGGAGGTGATGAAGAGGAAGAAACATCAACAAACCCCAAGAAAAATGGAGTAGACTCAAAGAAGGTAACATCAACACACACAAAGGAACGTCGAGAGCTAGGATGATAACACTTATACCCTTTCTGAGTCCGGGAATAGCCAAGAAAGATGCACTTAATAGATCATTCATCTAACTTTTCCTTTCCTGGCCCCAGATTATGAATGAAGCAAAAACACCCAAAAATACGAGGAGAAAGAGGAAACAGAGACAAGGTAGGAAACAATGTGGTGAAAGGAGAATGACCATCAAGGATAGACGTGGGCATCTGGTTAATCAAGAAGCAAGAAGTAAGCACAGCATCACTCCAAAAAGATTTGGGAACACTCATGTGATGCATGAGGGATCGAGCTGTTTCCAAAAGATGACGATTCTTTCTCTCAGCCACCCCATTTTGTTGTGGGGTGTAGGTACATGAAGCCTGATGGATAATGCCATGTTGATCTAGGTATTCTTGAAATGATGAAGAGAAATATTCACAGCCATTATCGGAACGAAAAATTTTAATGTGAACACCAAATTGGTTGCGAGTCTCAGCATAAAATTTTTGGAAAATGGTAAACAATTCACTCATTTCTTTCATTAAATAGAGTCACGTCATCCTTGAATAATCATCAACAAAAATGACAAAATATTTATATCCATTGTATGACATTATTTTATAAGGACCCCAAGCATCTGAATGAACCAAAGAAAAAGGACTCAACATACGGTTATCAACTCTAGGACTAAAGGGAACACGATGATGTTTCCCCAATTGACACGACTCACAATCCAAAACAGAAAGATGAATCAATGAAGGAACCAAAGACTTCAAGACTTTCAGTGAAGGATGACCAAATCGACAGTGCCACTGGCAAAGAAAGCAAGAGAAAACCCTAGACTGAGTGCGCAGAGAACAAAATTCTGGGCAGATCCGATTTGCTCAGTTTGGCTCTGATACCATATTAGAGTTCGGCCTACCTGTTAGACTGATAACAGTCAAGGAAAAGAGAGAAGAGAGAAAGAGAGAAAGAGAGAAAGAGAGAAAGGAGAAGAGTAGAAGAGAAGACAAGGAGGAAAAGGTCTAGTTCGAATGAGGGAAAAGTCAACTCTCCCATTCGACCAGATTTATTTTATATTACTAAAATATTGTGGAAAAGTCACATGTGCCCCTACTTAAGTTAGGGACATTAGATCTAACATAAACTTACACATCAGCACCTAAACATAAGCACAAAGACAGAAATACCCCTACATACTCGACACTAACAACTTCCCCTCGTTTTATCAACTATTGAAGCTACTCTTAGTTCCTAATAAGTTCATTTCTACTCCCATCCTTTCTAGTTTTCCCACTCATCATCTCAATATTCACATTTCTGCTATGCTTAGTTTTTGGACATGTTGTTTCTTGACTGCACAACACTATTCTCCATAATATTGTTGGCCTTATAACCATTTTACAAAATTTTCATTTTAGCTTAAGTGGTATTCTCCCATCAATAGGACTCCAGATGCTTAACTTAGGTTCAATCACAAACTTCAACAGCCAAACATTACACAGAAGAAAAGCATAAAAGGAAAAAGAAACTCTTGGCAAAATATACCATGCAGGCAGAGAAACATTTAGAGAAGAATAAGGTAGAATAATTGTGATTTGATACATGGATAGCTATGAAATATTATTAAAAGATTAATAAGTAAAAGAAACAAACTAAAGTTCACAAGGTCAAATCAGTCCAGCCAGTCAAATTATTACACTGAATGCCCTGGTTGGCATGGCTTTGCAGATTCTTTTTCTGTTGTTAATAGAAAAGTTTAATAATGGAAGAGAAAAAAACTAGAAGAACTTTGAAGTGTCAATCAGAAGGGCAAAACATTGAGGGAAGGCAAAATCCATAATACAAGACATCTTTATTAACCCTACTTCATGCAAGCAAGTGGTTATATTGGTTTATCTGAGGATCCAAGAAAGCAAGGTATTATCTTTCACCATATGCTTGGAGATTTGGAAAGAAAGAAAACAGAAGAATTTTTAAAGATGTATCTAGATATCTCCAAATGATGTATGCAGACGTGCGTGCCATGCTGATGGACGGGTCACTGGTATCAAAGAAATTCAAGGACCTATGAAGGTTTCACTTCAGAACACATTGGGAAGCTAGAATTAGAGGTATATTATGAATAGTTTGTGCTTTATACTGCATGGTTTCTCATCCACATTTACTTGCAAATATTTTTATCTTATTAATAAAATTCTTTGCAATACAAAGAAGTATTATATAACTGACTTTCATTCGAAAACAGATTATTGCCAAATAGAGTAGGTGAAGTGTAGTCTAGTTTTCACCCTGGTTAGTAGGTGTAAATCTCAAACTCCACTTAAGTTATTTCTTTCTATAAGTCTTTTATTTGAATAGCACACATAAAGTTGAAAATTTAGATAGAAAGTCAAACATATATTTGGAATATATCATACTTCATGAAGTAAAATATAATTGTAACATTTAAGGTAGCAATGAAACCTTACATTCTCCAATTCATCAAAATAGTTAAGCTTACTGCGAAGTGCTTCTGCAAACTCTATCAGTCTTTGCTTCTCTATCAACTGCATCCCAAAAAAGAAATATTTAGTATCCAAATAAAAATTAACCCAAATTCAACAATATGAAGAAGTCATTTTCTTACAGGAACTACCAATATAACAATACCCAAAGAAAACAGTTATACAAGGATACAGATGTCAGTCTGTACCAACTTTAACAAATGAAAACTCTGAGCTGATTTCTTTTCTAACTACCATGACTCTGGGTATAAACTAAGTGTTGGATTTTCTAACCTTTTCTTTTTCCATTTTACTGGTAACCAGATCAACAAGTTAATTAAGAAAAAGAAAGGGAATCCTGATACAAAGACAAGAAAATAAAGAAGCAGAGAAATCACCCCAGGTTGGCATGCCAAGCTCCCATAAACCATTTGAAAAGATGAAAAAAAGCCTGGTTCAGAAAGGACAGGCACTACACTAGCTCAACCCTCTCCACTCCATTTCAAGTAGGGGTGCAACTCAGGTTGGCAAAATTCCAACCCAAGCCCGTCCAAGTTGCAGCCTGAATTTCAAGCCAATGAGTCAGATAACTCATTAGATGATCTTCTAACCCAGGAAAAAAATATGTAACTTCCAGCTGCCAAGGCCCTTGCTTCTCTAGGTTGATGCAGGAGAAACAAAGGGCTGTCCCCTCCAATCCTCAGCCACTCACAACCTCAGAATCCCCCTCTCCTACTAACCTGTTGTAATCAAGTGAATGAACTAAACAAGGTCAATGTTTTCAGATATATAGAAGGAAGAATGGTGGCCTGTATTCAGGACCTTTGAGCATAGTAATGCATTGACAGCAGAACAGGTCAGTCTACCGCAGGGGTTAAGGCTTGCTAAACAATTGGGTTTCCACAATCTAGAGGTGGAAGGGAATTCTCAAGTAATCATCTCACGGACTAGAAACAGTACCCAGATTCCTTGTGTCTTCCGGTATAAGTCCAGGGATATTGTAAGCCTAACAAGGGAGCAAATGTTGCATTTAAGTGGATGAGAACAGCAAACGGAATGGCAGACTCTTTGGCCAAACAAGGGGCTGTAAGACAGCAAACATTTTGGGAAAATCTGTAATCTTTTGTTGTTTTTGGGTGGAATTTAACCCAATCTCTTCTAACTCCTAAGTTTACATCAATAAAATCCTTTTCCTGCTGATCAAAACAAAAAAAAAAAGACTAAGCATGGTCAATGAACCAAAAATAGCAATTCATCCTAAATAGATGACTAGTTAATTGGAATTGAGGATGCTTGAAGTGTCAGAGACAGCAGTTCGAAAAAGACAAGGGTTTGAATGGGTGTGTCTAACAGATCACACACCCAAGAAATATATTATATGTTAAAAGTGTACATTAATGAGAAAGGACCACTGTGCCCTTCTCTAAAATAAACTAATAAAAGAACATATATACGAGCAAAGATACAATACATAGGGCATGTGGTAAAACAGTGCTCCCAATAGAATCAGCCCCTCTCTGCACACCCCCCCCCCCCCAAATTGATGCCAAGGTAGAAGCATTAGTTTGTCAACTAAAATTTTGTGGTAAGGACGTGTCATGGCCTTCGTAAAGATTTCTATGAGTTGAAGTCCAAATGAGACATGGGGAAGAGTGATGATGCCAACAAGATATTGATCTTTGATGTAGTGGATCAAGGAAGGTGATGGGAATACCAAATATTTTCATGCTTTGGCTAATGGGAGACAGAGAAAAAATGTTGTGACCAAATTAGAAATTGATGGTGAAATATTCTCCTCTCAAGAAGAGATAGAAAGGATTTTTGTGGATCACTTCAAGTCAAGGATGGGAGGACCGCTAAACTTTAGAGAGAGGCTGGAAGGATTAGAGTGGCCAAGGCTAGATGAGAACATTTCAGGGTGGCTGGAAAGGAACTTTGAAGAAGAAGAAATCAAACAAGCAGTGTTCTCTATGGATAGATCAAAGGCACCAGGCCTGGATGGTTTCACCATGGCCTTTTACCAAGATTGCTAGAGAATAATTAAGGAGGATCTGGTTGAGGTTTTCAAGGAGTTTGAAGAGAGACATGTGATTAGCCCTGGAATAAATGCCACTTTTTTAGCTCTCATTCCGAAAAAGATTGATGCTAAACACCCAAAAGACTACATGCCCATTAGTTTGGTGACAAGCATCTATAAAATCTTGGCAAAGGTGCTATCCTTAAGGATCAAAGTGGTCTTACCATCTATCATTAGTCAAGCTCAAAGAGCCTCCATACAAGGTAGGCAGATAACCGATCAAATCCTAATAGCAAACGAATGTGTAGAGGATATGAGGAAATCAGGGGGCCCAGGCTTTGCTTGCAAGTTGGACCTTGAGAAGGCATATGATATGGTGGACTGGAGTTTCCTTTTGGAGATACTTAGGACTTGTGGGTTTGGGGAGAGATGGTGCTTATGGATGATTGGTTGCCTCACTTCGATTCATTACTTTGTGCTAGTGAATGGAGTGGTAAAGGATTTCTTTCCAGCCTACAAAGGCTTGAGACAGGGTGATCCTCTTTCTCCTTTTCTATTTACTTTGGTGGCGGATGAGTTGAGTATATTGATATCAAAAGCAGAGAGGGAGGGGGTAATAGGTGGTTGGAAGATTGGAAGGAATAATGTCTCTGTAACTCATCTCCAGTTTGCAGATGACATTATTATTTTTTGTGAGGGAAGTGAGCCAAGAAGAGTGGGAACCCTTAAAGATCTAGTATTACACTTTGAGAGAGTTTCCAATTTAAAGATCAACTTTGAAAAAAGCTGTGTGGTAGGGGTCAATATGGATGACAATGAAGTTGAGTCTATTGCTAATTCTTTGGAATGCTCTATTTCTTCTTGGCCCTTGACTTATTTGGGTTTACCTTTGGATGGGAATCCTAGGGAAAGTAGATTTTGGTACCCAGTTGTTGAGAAATTTGAAAGAAAGTTGGCAACTTGGAAAAAGAATTATATCACTATGGGAGGAAGGGTAACTTTGATTAAGGCTACACTTTCTAATTTATCAGTCTATTACCTCTCTATGTTTAGGATCCCCCATAGGGAGGCTAGGAAATTAGAAAAGATGATGAAAAATTTCCTTTGGGAACCAGAGGAGGAGAAAAAGGATCACATAGTTAATTGGGAGACAGTTTGTCGGAGTAAAGAGGCAAGGGGTTTGGGATTAGGGAATTTGGTTTTAAAAAATGAAGCTTTATTGGGAAAGTGGCTATGGAGATGGCCTTTGGAAAGAGAAAGTTTGTGGCACAGGGTTGTGCTTAGTATTCACGGCTGTTCTGTCTCTGGTTGGGATGTTGGGGTATCTCATCGGGCTACCCAAACAACACCGTGGAAGGCAATACATGGTGTCCTCCCCAAGTTCCTTCAGTATGTAAGGTATGATACGTGCTCTGGAAATTTGGTTCTTTTTGGGGAAGACACTTGGGTGGGTAATCAACCTCTAAAAGACTTGTTTCCTTCTCTGTATGCCCTTTCCCTTCATAAAAAGGAGGTTATCTTTGTCCTTCTTCCCCCTCCAATTTTACCTTTATCCTTGAGCTAGGACTTTGGTTTTTGTAGGGGCTTAAGGGAGGAGGAGCTTGCTTGTGTTACTGAACTTCTATCCATTCTAGAGAGTGTTTGTTTGGACCCCTCTTCTCTTGATAAAAGGGTGTGGACTCCTATCCCAAAAGGTTCTTTCACTTGTGCTTCCTTCTTCAAATCCCTTTGTTTGAGCACTTCTTTTGAGCCTTTCCCAGTGAAAGAAGTTTGGACAAAGCCTGTGCCCCCCAAAATTGTTGTTTTCTGCTGGGAAGTGTACCATGGTAAGATCAATACTTTGGAGAACTTACAAAGGAAAAAGCCTTTTATTTGTTTGTCCCCAAACTGGTGTGTAATGTGCAATTCTCATAGTGAGGACTGTTACCACTTACTCGTTTCTTGTTCCTTTGCTGCAGCTCTTTGGGATTGGATGTTTGTTTTGTTTGGATTTGGTGGAATCAACCAACAGAGGTAAAATCATTATTCGCATCAACCACCTTTGGTTGCCTAACAAAAAGAGGAAGGAGTATGTGGAGATGTTTCAGAGCAGCCACCTTATGGACAATTTGGGAAGAAAGAAATGCTAGAATTTTCCAAGATAAAGAGAGGTCCATGACAGAAGTGAAGGAATGTATCTTAACCAGAACTATCCATTGGCTGAAATCCTTGGATTCTTTCAGCTCTTTTTCTTTTGATGATATCTGGAGAAATTGGACCACAGTTGCACACACTTCAGTTAGAAAAACCAGAGCCACTACAGTTTGGGTAACTCCCCCAGAAGATTTTTTTAAACTGAATTTTGACAGTAGCAGCCAGGGTAATCCAGGACCGTCTGGCATTGGAGGAGTTTTGAGGAATGAAAATGGCAACATCATATCCTTTTTCTCAGGCCCGGTAGGGATAGGGGACTCTACAAGAGCTGAGATATTGGCTGCAGTACAGGGAATTCAGATTGCTAATCAACTAGGAGTGGAGAACCTATTGGTTGAAGGGGATTCTAAGGTGATTTTGGGCTGGCTGTCAAATCCAGACTCAGTTGTTTGGAGTTATAGGGATCTCATCAGAAAAGTTAATGGTTAACAAGGCACATAACATGTAGATATCAGTGGGTGGGTAGGGAGGCAAATGCTTTGGCTGATCATCTTGCCAAACAGGGTTCTACTAGGGACAATTTATTCTGGGCAGCATTGTAAGTTTATTTCTGATCTCTTGTAACGGTTAGGGGAGGCTGCATCTCGTGCCTCTCCAAGGGCTTCTGTAAAATCTATTTCCTTCTGGTTAATGAAATCATTTTCAATTATCAAATCCACATCCAATCTGATTATTAACCAGACGCAACTTCTAACAACCAAATCCAAGATAGTTGGATTCAGAGTCAAATCAGGTATGGGACTTTCAGAGTCCATTGACAGCCCTAAAGGTGGGGCACCTAGCCTAAACACAAATAAGATCAAAACTTATAAGGCAGGCACCTCACAATATTATAACTATGGCTACATCTTAT